AATGTATTCCAAAATCGAATTGTCTTATCTTGTGTTCCTCCTCCGCTGGCTAACAAACCATGCTAAAGGAAATACTTTTTGTTCTTTTTAAAACTTTATAATGAAAATCATTAAAAGATTTTATACATTTCATGCATGGCTCAAACTACTAGACAGACAAAATAAATTATGTACTTGATGGGGTGACCAAGCAATAGCTTTTACAGCAGCAGTGTGATCATTATACTGTTGGAAAGGAGTTGTCAAAGATTGATTCCAAACAAGTAACTGAAAAATATTTAAAGATTCTTTAGATTCTAATAAAAAATAAATCTTAATGTTTTAAAACTTCACAGCTCTACTTCATAATGACGTACAATACAAAGTATATATCTTAAAAAAAAACTTATAAAAAAACTAAAAATCAAATACTTTATTATCATTTCCACCAGATGCCAACAGTTGCTTGTCAGGTGACCACTTTAAACCACAAACCTAAAAAGAAATAAAGATATTTTTTGTAAATTAGAATTAGAATTTTTGTGTTAGATTGATTGGTAAAGTTCATTATTTTTTAGCAGTTTTTTAACATGAAATTAAAAAAAAACTTTTTTGATGAAATCTCAAGATTTATTAGTTGATTTTTTAATTTACTTTTCAAAGGCTAATGCAACCTTAAAAGTCACTGAGGTTACTCTTTCTATTTCTAAATATTTTTATTTTTATTTTTAATTGTTGTTACAATGTTATCTAAATTTTATGACTATAAATGAGTATTAATGAACAATGCCAATGAGCAAAGAAACATAAATATTAATGAAAAATGCCAATGTGCAGAGTAAGATATTGAGTAGAGATGAAAATGCTTATGTGAAAATACTTAATATATAGTAATTGTTTACATTCTAAAATGTTTGGTATGAATAACTAAAATCAATTTTTGAATTGATTCTAATTTATTCAAAAAATCATGATTTTTATTTAAAAAGTTGCCATATCAATTCTATATAAAATTTATTTTCTACCTCTTGACGATGACCAATCAATCGTTTTTCAGATGTTGTTGGACATCTAAAATATATTATTTTTTCAAGGTTCTTGACACTTTAACATAATAAATGTAACTAAATAACTTAAAAAAAAAAAAGAATTACAAACCTGACATCACGTTGAATAATATTCCGGTCTCTACTACCTGAACAAAGGATATCACTATTCCATGCTAATGATCCTAAAATAGTGTTAAATATGTTAAATACAAAAACAATTAAAAATGTACAAACACATTAACAGTGTATTAAAAGTTATGTTTTCTCAAACAGAGTTGCTTTACCTGTTGATTGCAAACAAAATGTATATAAAATTTAAGGTAAGCATAAATTATTTATTATTCCTGAGCTTACATGTTTATTTGCAGTGGAACCTAAACTATGCATATAATACATGCAAACTCCAAAACAATTGCATATTAAAACAGTTATGATGAATTTTTAAATGCTTAAAGTTTAGTAAAAAAAAATTATCTAATGAGGTAATAAATATTTTAACATAGTAACTATGCTATTATGTTTACTTTATGTCTATGAAATTTTCACCTTGGTATAATCTGAATAAAAAACTTTAAAAATTTATAAAATTTGATTTTCAAACACAAAATTTTATTACATATTTTCTTCTAAAATAAAATAAACTTAGAAAAACACAGTAACAAGCATTATTCTAGAATATTTTTTTAAAAATCAAAACAGATTATATTTACAATGGTACTTTTGAGTAACACCACTCTAAACTTCTGGTACTCTGGAGGAAAATATAGATAGTGGTAACCTTTATTTAAAATATGTTTTGGGAAGAATGGACAGAGTATTGTGACAACACAAGTGATGGTATTATATTGGAGAAACCCACATAAAGTACTTCAATTCTAAAGTAGCAGAAAAACTGTTGGCCCCAAAAAATCCACTATTCAAACTTTTGAAAGCCATGTGGGAAAAAAGTTGCTACAGATCAAGTCAATAAAGTTTAAAAGTTTGATTACAAAACCAATGGAAATTTGGTTAAGGTATTTGATACACTAACATTAGCTTTATGCAATATATATATATATATATATATATATATATATATATATATATATATATATATATATATATATATATATATATATATATATACATATATATATATATATATATATTTGTTTAGAAAAAAAAAATTATTCGTTTAGAAAAAACTCACCAACTCTTGTTGTGTGACCTTGCAACACCTGGATTCGTTTTGAAACAGCAATATCCCAAATTTGAATGTACCCTTTGTGTGTACCAACAGCCAAATGATTTCCCTTAAATTATATATCTTACTTAATAGAAAACATATAACTTAATCAAAAAATCATATATCTTACTTCATAAAAAACATATAATAAATATGCACAAAATTATTTTACCTTATCATTCCAAGCAACAGAAGTAACAGGATCGCCTTCAGATGATAGATCACACAACTTAGTCACCTTATATATTTAGTAGTAAGACATTTCAAATTAACTTTGTAATATAAAAAATTTCTTTAATTAACATTATTATTAGTAGTATGATTTATCACTTCACTATAAAGCATACCTGACTGGTATAAGCACTCCAAAGATACACACAAGATCCCAACCCAACACTTAAAATATTTTGACATGACCAGTCAACCAAATTCAAGTAAAAATCATCCTAAAGAAATAATATAATTTTAGAAAAAAAAAAGTGTGGAAGTACTTAATTACAACTTTAATACTTACTTGTAAATCAGGTGCATCAAGAACCTTATAAGGAACTTTTGGTATTTGGCGAACTGCCTAAAAATAAAACTTTTATAAGCAAAGATTGATTTAATTGAATTAAATAAGCAGTAAACAAGATAAAAATTGAAATAATTTATTAGCTACATTGTAATCATAAGCATAAACTAAAAGGATGTGTTAGTAGTAGTGCACTAGTGTACGCACACTAGTGTGCTCATTACAACAGAACATTTTAAAAAATTGCTTTTACCTTTTTAGGAGATCGTAGAAGTCTGTGGCTAAAGAAACAGTATTAATTACTATAATTATATTTATAACTAAACTATTTTTATAAGCAAAAATAAACAAACCTGTTGGTTCCAATTGGAGATATAGTGTAGGGGGATGAGATATCAATTGAATCAAGTAAATATTTGCGTTTATTAGGAGCTCGACTCTAGTAAGAATAAAAAATTTTGATAAAAATAATAGTGGAAGTTTTTACAACATGAAACAGCTCATAAGAAACTTACTTTAAACAGTGAGCGCACATGCTTGGGAGTAGATAATGGATGGCGTTCATCATTTTCATCCTAGAATACAAAAATTTCATTTTAAAAACGCAAAGTTAAAATTACTTACAGAAACCATTTAACTATTAAAAAAAAAAAATAGTTACGTTGAGAGTTTCGATCTCGTCTCTTAAGAGTTCATTTCGAAGAAGTGAATTATAGAGAAGAAATTCTAAAAAAAAAATTAAAACATTAAAAACAAAAATAAAAATTGGAATAAAAACTTTATTCATAACAACAATATATAAAATACAAGTTTTCTTATGAAAGAAGTTATAAAAATTAAAATTATATTTTGCTGTACCTTTATTTTCTGAACAGGGAACGTGGTCTCTAAAAGATAAATGAAAAATGTCATATTCAGAAAGTTTTGTTTATTAAAATAAATCATAAAATATCTACTATATAGTAGACAAAGCATCCTCAAAATCCTCATTATTTTTTATACCAAAATTGAAAAATAAAAAAGATTTTGACAATGCTTTTGATGCTCTTAGTAGTATAAAAAACAAATAAATATTTGAGAGTAGAGTTTATTTAAGGTAAAACAAAGTAAAAATTTGTAAGAAATATTTACTCCTAGTTTTTTTTTTTTTTTTTTTTTATTTTAATTCACCTCCTCAAGGCCGAGAAGGCCACTACAGACGAGGAGGCTACTTATTCGTGGCTATAACCCTCTCTCAACTCTATAACTCCGAAACACGAACCTTGACGAACAAGGCCGCTGCGCGGAGAAACGAGTTGAGCGCGGTACTACCAGGGACGTGGTGGGGATCGAACTCGGAACCACTCGTTTATGAAGCGAGCGCTCTACCACTACACCACTACCGCATAGTTACATAATATATTCAATAAGTTATAAATTTTTAATAAATTCATAAACTAAAAATGTTCCATAATTTTTTCAAAATCCATACAAAGCTTTTTATGTTGATACACTAAGCCTAAATATATATACACCATATATACACCATAATATACACCACTACCGCATAGTTACATAATATATTCAATAAGTTATAAATTTTTAATAAATTCATAAACTAAAAATGTTCCATAATTTTTTCAAAATCCATACAAAGCTTTTTATGTTGATACACTAAGCCTAAAACAAGAATATTTTTAGGACACCTTAAAGGTGTCCTAAAAATATTTTTGTTTATATTATTTGCATTTGTCTGGTAGCTTTTTATATTTGTTACATTTTTTTGGTAGCTGTTTATATTTTTTTAGGTTTGTCTGGTAGCTGTTTATATTTTTTAAATTTGTCAGGTAAATGTTTATACTTTTTACATTTGTCTGGTAGATGTTTATATTTTTTTAATTTACTGTATTGCAAACAAAATATAAGGTTAAATCTATAAGAACTGGCATGTTAGCCAATGTATGCTGAAGGGCCCTGAACGTTTTTTATCTAATAGACACCTTAGTAGAGATGTCTATTAGAGTGAATATACATGTGAATACAGTAAAAAAAAAAAAAAAAAATTAAATTTGTCTCTAAATTTTTAGCAATTACAAAACATTAATATTCTTATTATTTTGCAGAGATGAAATTTAAAAACAAAAAAATAGTAAATAATAAAAACAAAGCCTAAAATAGTTGACATTCAAAACTTCTGTATAAAAAACAAAGCCTAAAATAGTTGACATTCAAAACTTCTGTATAAAAAACAAAGCCTAAAATAGTTGACATTCAAAACTTCTGTATAAAAAACAAAGCCTAAAATAGTTGACATTCAAAACTTCTGTATAAAAAACAAAGCCTAAAATAGTTGACATTCAAAACTTCTGTATAAAAAACAAAGCCTAAAATAGTTGACATTCAAAACTTCTGTATAAAAAACAAAGCCTAAAATAGTTGACATTCAAAACTTCTGTATAAAAAACAAAGCCTAAAATAGTTGACATTCAAAACTTCTGTATAAAAAACAAAGCCTAAAATAGTTGACATTCAAAACTTCTGTATAAAAAACAAAGCCTAAAATAGTTGACATTCAAAACTTCTGTATAAAAAACAAAGCCTAAAATAGTTGACATTCAAAACTTCTGTATAAAAATTTTATGCAGCATAAAACAATTTTAATTGTATTTATTTTATTGCACTACCCAGTCGTAAAAAAGTGTATTCTGAGATGCTTAAAGATAAGTCTGGCATTTTCTCCTCCAAAGTTATAACTTAAGTTTTAACCATATGAACTTTTATACATTTAACTTAAAAGATTTACACCCCACTATTTTTAGATTAAGCAACCTTCTTTTGATGTTGGGTATATAAAAAACTTCATTTAAAAAGTATTTTAAACACAAAAGCTAATTGTGTTACACAATGCGCCAAATGAATGGTGCAACAGGAAAATTTGCAAAAAGGAAATGAAAAATATAAAAAATAATTTTTATTCTCTTTTCATTAAGTGCCTAACTCATTTTTTTGTTAAAGAAGTTTGACACTAAATTCACAAGTATTGTAACAAAAGTCATTGAAATTAGATAAAACATGATAAATATAAATACACCATACTTCATTTAGGTCTACATTATTTTTGCAATAATTTCTTACTTTGTTCCAGATAATAATGCAGGATCCACATTTTCCTAAGATATAAAAACATAATATTATTTTTATACAAGTAAAACTATATAATTAGATTACCAGTCAATTTGCTTGAATAATTTAAAACAATTTACAAAAAAAAGTTCAAACAATTAATTTATTACATTTGGAGGCGTTGAAAGAAATCCTTTACTTAAGTTAACCACAGCTCGACTAGGAATAAATCTAAAACAAGAATACAACATACAGATTAGAGGCAGAAAAATGTTTTTTTTTGTTTTTGTTTTTTTTTTGTGTTTTTTAAAACAAAAGTTAAACTCTTAAGGTATTCTAGTTTTGTCTTAAGGCAGTACAGGCAAATTTTTATTTCAAATAAAACTTGGTGTTTATTATTTAAATCAAAGTATTTAAAATGCATTAACTATCTATTGTATTATATACCTCCATTTGAAATATATCATTGCATTTTTAAGCAACTAATGTCAATGCTGATAGACCAGTACTTTTATAATACAATAAAAGGCTAGTTTACACTAATTTACATGTCTTTATAAAATGCAATGTGTTATGGTCTATCAAATCAAGTATACATTTGTAGAATCTGCATAGCCTCTTTAAAAAAATCCTGCATGGGCTTTTTGGAGAAGGCTTCTGAGTGTGATGAGAGTCCAAAGCAGAAGTATGAGATAAAAGATTTAGAGATGTTGCATAGTTTAAATCACTTAAAGGGGAACTTAAGGAAGGAGAAACTGAACACAAGGTACGGGAAACTTAAGGAAGGAGAAACTGAACACAAGGTAGGGTTAAAGATAAAACACAAATTAAAAGTGAAGGTAAGTGAATAGGATTGGCTGGAAGATATTTAAATAAACAATTGAAAAATACAGAAGTTATGAGCTTTAGTGGCAGCAGGATCAGTGGTGTTAGGGCCAAATTATTCAGCAAGATAGTATTAAAGTCACCAAAAATAACAATTTTGTCTGAGATAGAGAGAGAAAGGACTTAGTCAATTTGATTGTAAATTATATCTAAAAGAGTGCAGTCATGAAAAGGAGAACAATATAGAACAAAAAGAAAGATGATTGAGTGATATGGTGCTAAACAGAAGCACCTAAAAGATTAGTCACAAAAGTGAATTTTAGTAGATGGCACAAGAGACGCAAGCTCTTTTAATTAAGTCTTTGAGCTTAACCTTCATTAGAAGATGACAGAAAGAGTTGCATAGTTTCTATCAAGAAAGCAAAGATCCAGCATTTATAGATATAATCCTGTTTTACATTATTTTAAATAATGTAAAACAGGATTATATCTATGCCAGCCTAATATATGATGGAGTGTGATGCTGGTCAACAAAATTATTATGCTTACCTCTAAAGTCTTTGCCTAGGTGGCTTTCTAAAAAATAGAAGCTGAACACAGTTAACATCTGCCCAAGATGAGTATTTTTATCAAGACACTGTTTCTATTCAATAAAAAGCCCTAAGGCTTAAAGTATTTAAGTCAGTTGATTACTTGAATAATGAGGGTATTTATAATCCCTAGAAATATTATATTATATTATAAAGAATTTTATAAGGATAAGTTTATATACTATAAACAGATGTTTTTACTTAATTTAAGTATTTAAGTCAAAGTTTATTTTACCTAACCTTTGCCTAGAAAAGCAAATCCTACAAGACAGCAGGACATGGGACAGTAAATGTCACCAGAAGCAGATTGATATTAATGATCCTTCTGTAAAAAAATTCTGTAAGCAGTATTTTAACATATTGAACATAAAAAACATTATCTATTGGAGTGCTGGAAATTAAGGTGAATGATAAATTATACAGTTGTAATTAGTAGGTAGTAACTGACCTAACACTACAACAGAGGTTCAGACAGAACACAAACATACATACATAGTAAATAGCAGGAGAGTGAACACAGTAACTAAGACACCTTCAATTATATCACAGACAAAAGCATATACTACTATAGACATGACAGATATGAGATAGCATTTGATAACAGGAAGCTCACTTCTTCTCGCCTTTGCTTAGAAAATGAATTCTACAAGGCAGCAGGACATTTAACATGTTGTAATGGTTTACATGATACCAGTAACAGGGCGATCATGATGATCCAAGGTCTGACCTAACCTAAATTAGATCCGCATTCAGCAATGCCGACCTAACTGCCTATATAAGAGTACCTGAGGTCAGCAATTTTTTGACAACCTTGTTTCTATATTATTCTGGTGAAACCTTTGTGTTGAAAATTTTGTGCAGAGCTTACGCCAAAAAATACCAAAAATAGTTTATTTTTGGTATTTTTGGTATTATTATTATTTTTATTATTATTATTTTTATTATTATTATTATTATTATTATTTTTATTTGATACATCAAATATATTATTTACAATACATTGACTTTATAGATATTATTATAAATTACATATAACATTTATATAAAAGGAACAAATATCTACCTGTCTAACCCAGCATCTTGCAATCGCTTGGTAGGCGTTACCTGCCCAGGACTTTTTCCAAATGGTGAAGACTAGGTAAAAGTTAAATCTTTAATAAAATTTGAATAAAAAATAAATGACTTTAAAAAAGATTTGCAAATTTGCATAAATGCTATGTATATTATATAGTGCCGGTGCCTAGTAAACATCCGAGCTATAAGGTTTACTGTCTTTATTAAAACTACCAACTTTATTATAAATGTTGAAAAAAATTTTGTGTAAACACTGGCTTAACTGGAGATTACTATAAACACAGAATAGCAAAAATGATAAGTAAAAACAAAAATAAGATTTTTCAAATAAATTTTAGAAATAAAAGTGTTTTGCATTATAATCAAAGTTGGAAAACCTAAAGAACTAAAAACCAGCTCAATGAATTTGTAGCTCGGCTTTTGATTAAGCTAATAACCCATGGTCATTTGTTACTTTTTTGTAAAACTTATAATAGAGTAGTTACTCAACCAACTTATTACAGGTGACCTTTATCACAGATATCATAAAAAAAAAATTTTTAACGATGAAGGGTAAAAAATGTTAAATACAAATTTGTTTACATTATGATTCATTGCTTGTAGAACCACTATCATAATAACTTAAATAAAGTATTTTAATTATTTTTAAGTATTTCCAACATCTTTTATTGTGACTACACACATATTACAGTATTTGAACATTCTTAGTGTAAAATATAAAGAGAAAAAAAAATTAAATATCTGATGCTGAGACTTATACAATTACAATTTTCATCTTAACTTACAATTGGACTTTTTGTTGGAGTTTTAATTCCATTAACTTGTCTGAATAAACGTTGCTCATAAGCCGGATCCATTTGAGTGAGATTACAATTTTTCAAAATAAGAAATATAATTGTTTGTATATTTAAATCAGGAACTGCTAAAAAAAAAAAAAGTAACTATTATATGTGTATACAGTAAAATTTATGAGTTATTTATAAAATATTATTTAGAAGCTCTTTGCATCATTTTTAAAGCATAACATTTGTAGATTTTTTTTTGCAATATTTGACATATAAAACAGACAGGAAATTATTGTAAACATCAATATATTTTATATCCGGAGGGATGTTCTATTAATTACAAAAATAAAAAAATACATTAATTAGATATTACCATGTATTTCTATTGTTTTATATTTGAATACTGTCGTTTGTTTTTTGTTGTTGTTGTTTTATATTATTATGTTAGTATTGTTATTTTTCTAACTTTTTATAAAACAAACCATAATATATGCAATATAAAGTAAATAGAAAAAAGTATACAGGTCAAGAAAACATTAAAATTAAATAAATTTTGAACATATATAAATTATAATATAGTACTGTAAATGCAAACTGTCAAACACTTTTTTTATGCAATTTATAGTCCATTTAAAAAGTAGCGGAGATCAAAACAAAATTTGAAAATTTGAACTTACGATCAAACCGAAACACTAATTTTTAACGGTTTTTTTAATTAAAATAGTTTCGAGTGATTTCTGTATGATTGCCAACAACTTCGAAAATACGCAATATCTTCAATTTTAGAAATTTAATATTTATTAAAGTTATTTATCCATTTATTAACCAAAAATTGAAAAATTACAAACTTTATTATAATTTTACAAAATTAGGTTAGATGACACTCATATAGTTAAAAACTAGTCATTGGAGTTACAATAAATTACAATAAATGCTATAAATGCACTATATATGATAAAATATAATTTTATCATAACGTTAAAAAAAATTTCAAAACTAGTTTATAAGCATATATAATAGATTAACGCATATAAGTATATATTATTTATATAATAGATTATAAAATATTTGTTAGAGCGTATCTCCTAACTTGCGGGAAATAAAAATGTATTTTTTGTTAATACAGCTCTTACAAAAAAAAATGTGTTTGACTAAATACAATTGAAGGGCTATTGTTTTAGCCATGTTATCCAAATCTACCATAGAATTAAAATTTAGAATACACATTTAAATTCTCTGTTAGTAATTTTACAATAACCTCAGCTTGTTCTACATATTGTAAAAAGTTTCCGGTATATTATTATTATATTATATTAGTATATTATTATTTTAGTATTATTGTTTAAGTTATTATTTTAAGTTTACTAGCTTTAACCATCATTTACATTTTTTATATGATGATAACAATGTAGATAACAATGAATGTTTTGATAAGGAATAATAATGATAATCACAAAAATAATAGCAATAATAACAACAATAATAATAATAATAAAATTTTTTATTCTTATTTTTTATTAAAAAGTATATTATTATCTTTAAGAACTATTTTAAAAACTTAAATCATCACTTAACCTACCCAACAACAAAACATATTTCTTATATTTATAAATATTTTAAAAATTTATTCATACTTAATATAGTTTTAAATATAAACCATTGCAAGAAATAGTCAACCTCGGGATGATTTTTCCAAATCCAATTCAAACCAAACAAACTATAACTATTATAATATTAATATAGTAAAAAATTTATTATACTGTATAATAAACTTTTTGCTATATTAATAATAGTTATTCTTATCTTAACAGTCTTCTTTTTACTTCATTTAGAAAGAAAAGATCATCCTTTCATTTAAAAAAGATATTGAATATTTTGAAAATCATTTTCAAAGCTAGCAGATGTTAGAAATATAGAATATACATGTATACGTTACGTCACTATTTTACTTTTAAAATGTTTTGTTAAAATACGGAAATAAATCAAATGAAAAAAAAATTGATAAAACGTATCATGCAAGCTGTAATTTACTTCCTAAAAAAAAAAGTTAACTATATTTACTGCGATATTTTTCTATGAGCATTTGTACGTCATTTTAGTTCTATTTTTTTGTATCTTGTACTTGATTAAAATCCATTTTGTCCTATTTACCGAATAATTTTGAAAAAAAAGATCTCTTGAAAATCAGCTTGACCTAAATAGTCATACTTGAGTCTTGATTTTAATTTTTTTTTCTCTTGAGTTATTTAGGTGCTCCAAGAAGTCCTAACGGTCTTATCACAAAGCAACACAAAATAGTATTTATTCAGAAATTTCACGCCTTCTTCTTTACCAATTATGCATATATGGCCAGAGTCGGCTTTGACCAACAGCTCTGAAGTCCGAACTCTAACCACTCCACCACGGCTGCTTTTAATTTTATAAAATTTTCGAAACGTTTACTAATGATAAATTGTAAAGAGTTTCTAAAGTAGTTTTAGTCTCAGAATTTTTTTTTTATGTACAAAAACTAATAATTCTTTTTTTTAAAGTAAAAAGATCAAAGTAAAAACAACGTAAAAACAAAATACAAATAATTAAAAGCAGTGCAAGAAGAGGAATAGAAAAGCTTTAAGAGACAAGAGATGGTAATATTTTGAACTACAATACAAATTAGACGTACAAATGAACAAAATCATAAATACCTTATCAAGTTAAAAACTTAATTCACTGAAGCTGCAAGAATAAAGACATTAGGAAACAAAAAAAAGAATTTGATTGTCAAGCTAAAAAATATGAATTATATAGAATTTACAATAACAAGGTTAAAAATGATAGTTTTAGATTAAAAAGAGAAAAAAAAGCCTACAAAAATACAACACAGTTCAGCAAAGTAATAAGATTAAAAAACCATTTTTACCCCAAAAACCAGCTGTTATCGTTAAAAGTCATGCCAATAAATTTACTGATAAAGTTAAAAAGTTCTTTTTTAGAACAGACATTGAACTATACTAAGGAAAATAGATGAAAAAGAGATTAAAAACTATCGAATCCTTTTACCTGATCAACTTTATCCAAGTGTATGGAATTTTATAAATGCATGTTATGAGGTTAAACTCGGGACAAATTCATAAATTTGGTCTAACTTTTTTGATCCTTTTTGTTAAAGGGCCGACGACATGGGTTTTGAAGTGGAAGGGCACATTGCCAATTTTTAAAAAAAGTTCCTTTATATTTAGAATTTTCATTAAAAAAAAAAAGTCCTTTAGAAAAAAAATGACCCTAGACACCCCCCTCCGCCCCCTAATGTCGTCGGCTCTGGGTTATTATTTTATTATTTAGGTCCCCCAAGAAGATCTTAAGGTCTTGTCACAGAGCACCGAGGAAGTGTATTTAAATAGGAAGTTCATTTTGTTCGTTGTATCACAACTTTAATAACAATTACCAGCAAAAATTAAGTTCAAAAATAAACTTTTTGGAAAAAAGATTAGTCTAACATAGCAAGCTTGTGGTCTAGAAACTCACTCTCAACGTATTTCAGCTCAAAAAAATTGCACTTAGTTACCTGTTACTTAAAATGAACGATTATTGGATAGCGGTTGTTATAAGCTGCCTTGGCGCAGTGGTTAGAGCGCTTGCTTTAAGAGCAAGAAATCTAGTATTCGAGGCTCTTTATCATATTTCGCGCTATTGGTAAGAAAGAAAGCATGAAATTCCGAGTTAAATGCTTTTTTGCGATGATTTGTGACAAGACCGTTTGGCCTTCTTGGGCCACCGAAAACAAAAACCATTAAAAAATAATAATAATAGTAATAATGACAACTCTCTATTTCTTCGTTACGTCACACACCGAAGTATAACCATTTTTTATGATTTTTTAAAGTTTTTTGATAATGCTCAAAATAGGTTATTTCAAAAAACTATCCAAATTATTTTATAAAAGATTGTTTTTTTGCTTTATCTGCAAACATTCAAACTCTTTAACTATACGCTACGTCACATTAGAAACAACTGGTATAAAAGTAGGAATTTAAAAACAAATACCAAGAATTTAAATGTCAACTAACTTCTTTATGTCAAATATTTTAGTGTATTTTATAAAAACTTATGATGCTCCGTACGAGCGTCATAAGTTTTTGTAAAATACACAACCATATTAATATGGGAGTGTATTTTACAAAAATGATGACGTTTATTATATTTAAGGCTTTAGGATTTTTTTAACAGTATATTTTGTATTTAATATATAATTATACTTTTGTATAATTCTATCAAGTTACCCCGCTGGCGCTATTGCAACAAACAAGTTAATAACTCAGATACGGATCAACAGCTTCATGCATAGTTTTTATAACATTTTTATAAAATACTTTATGTAATAAAGAAATCTCTTACATAGCTCAAAATGCTGCTAATGCGAAATTAAAATTAAGTTAAATAAATAAATGCTAAAGTAAAAATAATAATAATTAAGTTAAAATTGTAATAATAACTGTAATAATAATTTTTTTATAATATTAAACTTTTCTAAACATGCAACCACGTTTAGGCAGCTCCATAAAACTTTATATCATTTAAAATGCAATGTATATAGTCCACTTCATTATCTTGAAGATTTATTCATCATTTTGGCTAGAATAGTATTTTGTTTTCATATACTATTCTTCATCTTGTCTTGTCTTCTCAAAAATTATTGATAATAATGTTTAACGAGCGTCAAAAATGTTTGGAATGTACTCAGGCGTACTTAACTACGCATAAAGAAACAATGAAGTTCCAAATTTTGCTTCAAAACTTTAGACGCCAGATAAATTTAGAAATTAATTCCTTTTTTTAATGAAGCCCAAATTTCTTTCAGAAAAAAAAACAGGTGTTTCAATGACAAGCACTTGTTTCAAAATAAATAATGTGAAACGGGCAGCATTAACCTTAATAGAAAAATACATTTTTTCGAGAAAATTATTAAGAATTTATCATAACTATAGTCACTTATTTGGACGGAGAATTACCCAACAACCCAGCATTACACAGCAACTTTTTTTTTAATTCAAAATACCCGGGTTTTATACTATGCAAGATTCATGCACAATAAAAGTTAAGTTTTTAAGTAAGCCATGTTATACTAACAAAAGGTTTATTGGCCCACGGTTGTAAGCAAAATATTTTTAGGAAAATAAATTTCTGTTGCGCTGTCAGTCAATCAAAAGTATATCTTTGACATTTAGATCGGAGCAGATGCAACCCTTTAATTCTTTAGACTTTAATATTTAACTTTAGGGTTAGTTGCGTTTATCCTGATTGATGGATCGATTCCAGCAGTTGAACGATAAGCAGAGACTTACAAATGGTTAACATTAATTTAAAAAAAGTTAAATTTGAAAAATCATTTTTTTCTGGAAAACAAACCAAATATAAATTATGTGGAAAAA